GTTCCTCCTCGAGCTCCTTCCACGAGGGGTCGGGAGAGGAGCAGCTTTGAAACAAAAGCCAAAACTCCTCACAGGTTCAGATACGGGCGCTTCCTTTCATACAGGCTGCTGGGTTTTTCACATCTGCTGACAGTGGCGCTTTCTTTAGGTGGAAACGCTGTTTTAAGCTCCGTTACTGGAAGCTTATTTCACCAGACAGGTAGAGCACCAGTTTTATTTCACCTTGGAAATGGAATAGCTGTGATCCTGTTGCATCAGCCCCCCGTCTCAACCAGACAGTGAGCAGCAGGCTTCCACACACTTCAGTGAAATAGTGCATAACTGACTGCACATAGCTTACTCAGCTCTTTTTGATGGCTCCTTTGATGTGTAATGCCTCCTTTTCCTGCCTGTCCTCTTACTAAACTCAACGGCACTGATCTTCAAATCTCTGTTTGTGTAGTCCTTAATGCATCTCCCATGCCTTGTTGTGAATAAACCAGTAATTCTGTACTTTTTCCTTTCATTTCATGAAGGATTCAGGACAGGCTATTCCACTTGTAGTAGAAAGCTGCATTCGTTACATCAATTTATACGGTAAGTCAATTCAGTAATATCAACAGAAACCTCGTGCAAGGGAAATGAAGTTCTTGTTGTTAGCCGTGAAATCCAGTGAAGATCCCTGCAGCCCTTGCTGCTTGGGCTTGGGTTGTAGTTACAGTGGCGTTGCTGGGATGTAGCATTGGATGACTGGCAAATATTTAGGTCTCGTTAGCACTTATTCAGGTTAAATTGTTCACTCAGGCCCTGGACCAACCGGAGCCCTTTCAACACTTTGATCTGCGGGGCCCTTGACTGTAGAGGATGAGCAGAAATTAATTGTAGCGAGCTGTCCCCTTCCTGCTGTGAGCCCTTCTGGGTACACCGACTCCTGGTTTCTGCTGTTCTGCACCAGAAACTAGTGTGCAGCAGTTGCAGAAGTCTTTTCTGAAACGTTGTTCTTTTCCAGGCCTTCAGCAGCAGGGCATTTTCCGGGTCCCCGGCTCCCAGGTGGAGGTCAACGACATCAAGAATTCGTTTGAGAGAGGTGTGTTGCCGGGTTGTGCGGCTGCAGCCGGGAGTTCCGTGTGTGCAGGGCGCGTCAGACATCGGAGTATGAGAAGTAGGGCTCGGTGGAGAGATCTTCTCCATAGTCATTAGTTAAGAGCATGAAAGCCTCAGATGAGAGCCATCGGATAGTTTTCTGGGATGCATTTTCCTCCTCCCTGCAGCGGTTTGTCAAGGGAAGAGCAGCCTTGCCACATGTACCTGGTGGCAGCGTTGGTTGTGGAGTTGCCAGTGATTTTGTTTGAGAAAATCACATCGAAGGTGCAAGGTAAGATGGGGCAGAGCAATCCTGCTGCCTCCGACTGAAGGTGAAGCTGTGAGAGGGACGGTCTGTGTGGGGTCCTCGCTTCCGGCAGCATTAATCCTTGGGCAGCGCTGGAAGGATCAGGGTGAAGGTGGCTGGGTCAGTGGATAAGGCAGCGGTGCGATTGGCAGCAGACTGGAAGATTTGCACATCCAATTTAAGGGGAATTGGTATCCAAATCCCTTGAGTTTTGAAAGCCCTTTATAGATTTAAGTCAGTACAATGCTATCCAGAAGTGTTATTCCAGAGGCATAATTGCATCCTCCAGCCAAGCTTGTCTTCTCAGGCTTTCTCCCACCATCATTTAGATCTGCTCAGTTCTCTGAGCTGTTGCTGCAAATGCAAAAATGCACTGGACTGGAAACTGTGAAGGAGAACCAATTAATAACATCTTCAGGAAAGGTTTGAAATCTCCACAGTAAACTGGCTTCTTGTTGGTAGGGCTCTAGCATGTCTCAGCATGATGCTGTGTCACAGAGTAATTTATTAAACTCTCCTCTCGCTGGCTGAATGCGTAGCATTGCCGTCGTACACACAGGAGGGTTTTCTGAGCTGTGGGAAGTTTTAGATTTCCACTGAGTTAGCAAAAAACTTGACAGTAATGCTGGAAATAAAACCTCTTCTCTGGGCAGGTGAAGATCCCCTTGCTGATGATCAAAATGAACGCGACATTAATTCAGTGGCTGGAGTCTTGAAGCTGTATTTCCGAGGACTGGAAAACCCCCTCTTTCCTAAGGAAAGGTTTCAAGATTTGATATCTACTATAAGTAAGTACATGTGGCAGCTCTTCTCAGAGAGTAGGGTGGGACAAAAGGAGCAATAAACAGGGAGCAGATAACCTGAGCTTTGTGAATAGCAGCACCCTGAGGCTGCAGACTTGGTTTCAACCTGACTTGGTCAGCTGTTCTCTGAGGGCCTGCTCTGCGTGTCTCCTGTCCTAAAGAAAACCAGAAACTGCTTTGGGATGTGAGCAGACGTAAAGGCTGAGAGTTTTTAGTCATAAAGAGTCTGGAATTGATATCAGGGAGAGCCTGGTTGCTTCTTGTTCTGTCCCGAATTCTCCTCCCAGCTCCACGTGCTCCCCTGCCACTGAAGAAGCAGATACCCCAGCTGGGGTTAATTTCTCTCAGTGCCTTGTAGTGATGACATTTACTTAGTTATTGGCAAGTCATGGAAATCACTGCCCAGGGGAAAGGAAGAAGACCGAGTGAATTTGGTGTTTCGGAGGTGACAGAGGAGCACGTTTTGTGCTTTGGCTGCAGGACAACTTTATTTTAGAAGCGAGGCGTCGGGGCAGTTTGGGGGTTTGAGCGCCTCGGTACGTGGGTGGCTTCAGGGGCACTGACGGGTGAACGTGTGCTCAAGTCCTATGTTTGCCTTTCGCTGCTCGGGGCTCCTTCCCCCCTCCCCGTGCGTAACTGCTAGATTTAGTGATGGCAAGAAAGACAGATGCTGTCTGGAGGGGAATGGTACAGGGATGGGCTTGTTCCAAAAGGAGAAGAATGCGCTCTTATTTCTCAGGAATGGTTGTTTCATATAGTAGCTTCAGGAAATTCACTGTTGCCTTTCGGTTCTGATGTGTGAAGCAGAGCAGCACACCTGTAACCCAGCGAGCAAAGGAAGCTGTTTGTGCCCCAGGTCCGTGCCCCGGGCAGGGGTGTTTAGCCTGGCTTGCCCTCCCCATGGGCCTCGCAGGGCACAGCCCGCAGAGACGAGGATGGGTCCACGTTGGTGCCAGGAAACATACCCGGTCCTTGGTGGTGTGGCTGTGCTTGCAGATAGGCTTGTGCTTTGGAACCACCTCTAATTACTGCCATTTTGCACAATTTATTAAGCTTCTGGGAGCTTTTCTTGGCAAACATCATCTGTCAATTTTCTGGGTAGCATTCCCTCTTTATTTTCTCTCATTTCAGCAGCAGTCTTCCTTTCCCTCAGCTTTCTTTTCCTGCTGCTCTTGCTACCTTTCAATTAAGGGCAGATTTTGAATGAATTCGAGTGCCTTGTTCCCATTGCAAGTCTGCCCTTAAGCGCATCTGCCTTTCTGGCCCGTGAACATGGGCTGAGCAATAGGTGTCCCAACCTAAGCAGATTGGGGAAACCTTTCTCTGAGACCCACTGCTCGGTAGAATGCCAGCCGTGCTGGAAGATGTTCATTTTGTGCTGCCGGGGGAAGGGTCAGCAGTCTGCCTCTGGGGCACTGAGGGTTTATGTGGAAGCGTTTCTCAAATGCAGATGAGAGATGGATAGAAAAGGCACTTTGTTTGCAAAGGTTCACTCCGGGGTGTGCCTGTGTTGTGGAGTGATTGATGATTCCTCCATTAATTCCTCTGAATTACAGCCAGTTGAAACATTTTGCTAAGTGAAAAAAGGCAAGTGCTTCATGACAATTTGTTCCTCTGGGCTGCAGAACAGATACCTGCTGTCGTCGATCTTTATCCATTTTTGATTTATTTGATTGTTTGGGGTTTTTTTCCAAATATCCTCTTCGATAAAACCAAACTGAAGAAGCAGAGAACCTGGTAAGCAATAACAGGGGATAAACACATTCCTCAGAAAGAAAAATTTCCAAAATGAAATATAAAGATTTGCGTCTTTGCAACAAAGCCAAATTTTGCTCAGAATTTCGAACAAATGGCAGCCTGGCTACGTGTTGCCAGTGAATTTTACTGTGATTAGCAAATGGTGAAGTTTGAGCCAGCACAGTAAAGCAAACGTCTCTGCCATGCACCTGGGGCTGACTGCTCTCGGGAAAGATCTGTAAAATACAAACCACCGGGTTAACTGTCTGCGTAGTGCATTGAGCAGGGACTAGCTGCTAAGAGAAGTGGATCTTGAAGTGCTGACTCAGAACTGGTTCAGATTAGATTCCCAGTAAGACCACTGGGAGACTAGAGCAGAGGGGTTCAGAAGGACCTGATGGTTAACGCATAAAGAAATGTGAATAAAAGCCTCATTTTAAAATCTGCATGAGAAAACCAAGCAGTGCTCCATTTCCCAGTGCCATTTTGACAAGCTTTTGAGAAATGCTTGTTGAGGCATGAACTAAATAATGCATAAACAGTTATTTTAAAAATAAAGCCACGGATATGTTTATTTTTCTGTTTATACTGAATCTGGACGTAGATGTGAATTCACTTGTGGAAGAGCACTGCGCCTGCTTCTCCACTTGTACATCAGTGCCAAACCAGTGGGTCAAATCTGGAAACGGGCTGTTGGGTTTTTGTGCTTAGTGGTTACTGGATCTGGAAGAGGTGCCTCTGGTGCCGTGTTGTCTGGTCTTGAGAAGGTTTATAGATGTGCTTTCTGTCCATGTGTTCCAGAAATTGAGAACTCCACCGAGAGGGTGCACCAGATCCAGCAGATCATCGTCACTCTGCCCCGGGCTGTCATTGTTGTCATGAGATACCTTTTTGCTTTCCTTAATCAGTGAGTCTTTTATTGTTTTTCTTTCTCCCTCTTTCACTTGAGTTTCTCCTTGCCCTCCTTGCTTTTCAGGGGCTCCCTGTCTCTATTGCATGAGTCCTTTTTGGTATTGCCACGGAGAGTTGTATTGTGCTCCCTCCTCAGCGTCCCCCAGCCGTGGCCGTGAGCGCGTTTGGGGCAGGTGTGGAGCTCGGTGACAATGGCCTTTTTGGGTGGTGGGGCGTGTTGGTGGGAGGTTTCCCTGAGCGAGCGGGGAAGGTCGGCCCCGCGGCTCCCTAACGCTTGTGCTCGCAGCCTGTCGCAGTACAGCGACGAGAACATGATGGATCCCTACAACCTGGCCATCTGCTTCGGGCCCACTCTGATGCACATTCCCGACGGGCAGGATCCCGTGTCCTGCCAAGCCCATGTCAACGAGGTCATCAAAACCATCATCATTAACCATGAGGGCATCTTCCCCAGCCACCGAGAGCTGGAAGGACCTGTCTACGAGAAGTGCATGACTGGCGGGGAGGAGTACTGGTAAGGAGCGGCGGCAGGACTTTGTGGTTTGCAGGATTTGAAGCCAGATCCCCCTGTTGGGGCTGTCTTCTGGCACAGCACTGGGCTGGGTTTGCCCGTCTGCAGAATGGACGTGCCTTCTTGCATTTATTCCTGTTAAACGATACAAATTTGGTGTGTGAGCGACATGTACTTGATGTGCTTGTACTCTTTTTACACTGCTTAAGAATCCCACTCCCTAAAAGGCAGCATTTCTTAGTCATAACGGCCTTCGTAAAACTAAGAGGATTTTGTACAACTAACCACTTAGTCTCCACTGATATATATTGGGTTTGCTTTTGATTTTAGCGGTGCCAGTTAAAACAGAGTAGGCATTTCCACGGAGCATTTCTTTTTTTCATGCTGATTCAGCATTATAAACCTCAGTAAAAACTTCAGGAGAAGCTTTTTTTTTTTTTTTCCAGTAGGAATATCAATATTTATGAAGATTCTTTTAGCTGCAGATTCACAGAAGTGTGTTAAGAGCAAAAAAGAATTTTAGGTGAATTCTAGCCAAATTCCTCCTAGGCTGGAATTTTTGAGTAAAGTCCCAGAGTTGCATCATAATTTGCTAAATGCCTTAGCCTGGAGTTAGCCTGAACTTTCCAGTTCCTTTAGTTTTGCTGCTGTTAGAGGAGGGATGAGTTTGCGTTAGCCGTGGATGCGCGATTACGTTGCACCTTCCTGGTGCGCGGCGTGCCCTGGCTAGTGTGCCCAGGGCGGGAAAACTCCGTTAGCAAACTGCCACATGAGAAGTGTGAGTGGTGTGACACGCTTGTCTGGGTTTCTAAACCAACATTCAGATGTGAGTTTTAAAAAAAAACCAGGGTTTATAACTGACTTGGGCTTCTCTGTGTGCAAGTTTTATATGTTTCTGAGACCTGCTGTTCGCTGATGCTGATCACCTGCCCCTATCCTTACTGATGCAAGCGGAGGGTAGAACACTGAAACTCCCTGTGAATGAGGGAGGGGCACAGTTTAGCTCTGTATCGGCTTATATTTGTTTTGCCAAATACAAGTAAGGTTCACGAGCTACAGAACGTGGCTTCAAGATTGTGGTGTGAGGGTCTGCTGTACTCAGAGCAAGTTCGGAGATCATCTCAGTCCTACAAAAACTAAACCCATAACTCTTCCAAGTGTCACTGGAGCCAGAATTTCCCTCAACAGCTTCTGCTAATATCCTTAGGAACAGGATCTCATTCTTTCTTTGAAAGCACGGTGTATTTTATTTCAGTGACAGCCCGCACAGCGAGCCAGGCACCATCGATGAGGTTGACCATGACAACGGCACGGAGCCGCACACCAGTGACGACGGTGAGTGCGGACTTTTTTTTCTGGGTTGGAAGAGCTGTGCCGGCAGGAAAAGCCGTGTGTGCCCTTCCTTCCTGGTCACTTCAGGGGCTGGACTAGTGCCTGGCCCTTGGTGGGAGAAGATGGCTTTGTGTGCTCGGCAATGAATGTGCCTGTTAATAAATAGTGCCGATAGGCAAATGGCTGACGAGAGCAGGAGGGGAGGCGGGCCCTTGGATGCATCGTGGGGGAAACACCTCAGCAGTGAGGGGTCTTTCAGCTGGGTTTGTCAGGCTGCACATCATCCCCTGTGGAGCAGCCATCTCCAGCAGAAACTTCAACGTCTCTTCTGCTTTCCTGATGGATGCTGTTTCCTTGGACGCATCCTGCCCCGAGAGAACACCGCTGCCTGCCTGGGCTGTGCGTGGCAGGAGGGCTCGGGGGCACAGCAGAGCCGGTCAGCTCCAGACGGGAGCCCACAGGGCGAGAAGATGAGGGCGAATAAGCTGCTATTTAGCCAATTTTTTGCCTGGATGGTCACTTTAATAGCTCTGATTGGAATTTCCGGGTGATTAGCTTGTGGCACAAGTGCAGCTTTGTTTTGTGAATTTATATATTGCTTCTTCCCCTCTCCCTCGCTCTGCACACCCTCCGAGCTAGGAAGCTGCACTTTTTATCAGGGCTGTGGAGCCCTCCCGGTTGCCTCCCGTGCAGTGTTTCCTCCAGCGCATTCCCCATTGATCCTGCTCCGGTGAATCCCTGGCGTCTGGTAGAGCCTAAATTAGAAATAAGTGGAGAAGTGGAGAGCTAGAGTGCTGGCAGGGGGGGTGACACGGAGCAGCTGCCTGGCCAGAGCTGGTATCGTCGTTTCTGTGGGGATCCCCAAAGGGGGATTCGATACTCATCAATAATTCAGGCCAAACTGTCTCCAGGATAAGGAAAGGAGGAGAAGGTCTGCGGGGCTTTGATCACAGTATCTGACACAGCTTGACGAGATCCCAGTCTCAAGGATGATGAGGTTCTGTAACCAAAGAAATCACTTTACAGACAGAAAATGGGAGTGCAGGTGATGGCGCCATATGCACACAGGGAAATTTTAACTACTCCCATCTGGTTTTTGTAGCTTTCTGTAATTGTGAGTCTGTGAGAAATTCCAGGAAGGCTGTAAGAACAAAGGGAATTGATGAATCTAAAAATAAGATGGTTTGTACACGGTGCAAGATGCTCTTGGGAAGAGCTAGGGCAGCAGCATTTCTGCTGTTCTGGTGAGATGTCTCTTTCTGGGATTTATTGTGTCCTTGTGATTGTTGAACTAAGCTTTTCTCTACCTGTGCTTCTCCCCTTTGCAGAAGTGGAGCAGATTGAAGCCATAGCAAAGTTTGACTACATTGGACGATCTCCACGAGAGCTCTCCTTTAAGAAAGGGGCCTCGCTCCTCCTGTACCACCGGGCGTCAGAAGACTGGTGGGAAGGGAGACACAACGGCGTGGATGGCCTCATACCCCACCAGTACATCGTGGTGCAGGACATGTGAGTAAAGCGGCGTGTGTCGATCCAGGGTGTTAAAATGACGTACTTACACAAGGGCCCTCTTTAGACACCTAAAGTAACGGTCAGGTTTTCCCTGCAGTGAGAAATCTAGACCAGCTCACGTCTGCCTCCCTTTTCCTTGTCCTAGGGACGACGCGTTCTCCGACAGCCTGAGCCAGAAGGCAGACAGCGAGGCGAGCAGCGGGCCACTGCTGGATGACAAAGCCTCCTCCAAGAACGACATCCAGTCTCCCACAGATCACATCGTGGACTACGGCTTCGGGGGAGTCATGGGCCGGTAGGGAAACTCATTTTTCCTACGACTGCAGAGGTGGTTGCCGTCACGTATGGGGAGAGTCAGTGCATGGTGTTGGGCGAGATGGAAGGGAAGGCTCTGGCAAGAGTAACAGGAGTGTGGAGGGGGCTTTTGTGTGTGTTGCTAAGCGGATCTTAACGCATAAAGAAGGTGCAATGCTGTCTCTTTCTTGGCGCTGGCTAAAATGTCTGTCTGCCCTCTTGCCTTAAGTCTTCTGGAGCGGAGAGGCTGGGGTTTGGTTTGCTCTGAACTCTCGGAGCGCAGCGATTGTCTTACAGCCCGCTGCGACCAGGCGCCTTCTGTCTGACGGACGGTGACCTAGTCTTGTGATGGATTCTTTGCAGAGTGAGATTGAGGTCTGACGGCCAATCTATCCCTCGCCGTCGAAGGGGGGGGGACACCCACAGCCCGCCCCGAGGGATGGGTCCTGGCATAGACACTCCTCCTCGAGCAGCGGCCTGCCCTAGCAGCCCCCACAAAATACCTCTAAACAGGGGCAGGATTGAGAGTCCCGAGAAGCGCAGAATGGCGACATTCGGCAGCGCAGGCAGCATCAATTTCCCAGACAGGAAGGCCTTGTCTGATGGGCACCCGCTGAGATCAACCTGTGGATCGACTAGACACAGTAGTCTTGGAGATCAGAAATCTCTAGAAGCAGAAGCGCTTGCCGAGGTAAGAGGGTTGTGAAGCGGCTCTTGGTGCCCAGGGATCAAGAGGCTGAAATAAAAAAGTCGCTGGGGTAGCGCTGCAGAGCCCCTTCCATTCACCACATCGCAGGAGTACAGTGCCGTGCAGCTGCAATGGTTTAAAGATAAAAACGAGCAGCCAGCAGCTTGCCGGCTTTTCCAACCGTATCAGTTGGTCTAAAACGAGAACCTGCCTCCTTCCACAAACCTTGTTTCCCTGAAACGTTTGATCCGCCACCAGAACGTGCCGGCGGCTCCTACCTCCTGCAGAGAGCGAAGCGCGTTATCTTATTCTGATGCTCCATAAGGAGCTTAAATGGAGAAAAGTGGATTTGCCAAATCAGAATCGGATGCTCAGTGTTTGCAGAAAAGTGCTTCAGGTTTGTTACTGGCGTATTTGTAGCTGGTACCTCAGATCATTAGTCTAAGGCCAGTCTGATTCCCCCAGCCAGGCAACATCACTGGCATCTCACAGGGTGCTCGTTCAATTCCTGTTACCCCCAGTACAGCCTGCGGGTCTCCCTGCTGCTGGCTCGGTGGGCGGCTCTGTGCCTCATCCGCTGCTTTCCGGGGCATAAGTAATGACGGTTGCAGGAAGGATGACCTCTCACTGTCCTTTTTGCTTCTCCACCAGCCGCGCTCCTCGCTCTCTCGCTCTGCAGCACGCTACCCGGCTTCTCTGTCAGCCAGAGCCTGTGTTTGGTGTGAGCGACTCGCAAAGCCGCAGGGGCAGCACAGCCTGTGCCCGGAGCGATGGCTCAAGCCGGGGCACACGGGCAGGGGGTGACAGCGTGCACTGAGCCCCGAGCGTGGCCCCTGGGTGGGAGCGTGGACCCTGCAGTCGTGCCCGGGGCTGTGGGGTCCGGGAGCCTCTGGAGGGATGGGGGGATGCTGGGGATGGAACATGGACAGCTTTCTTGAGTTTTGAGTAGCTTCTTTAAACCTTAAAAAAAGAAATTCTCCGTTGGCTGATGTGAATAAGTACTTACCTTGAAGTCTGTGGGACTGCTGGCTTGGTAGTCTTGAGGCTTAGCTCTGGGGGAGTATTTCCACTCATTATTTGGACAGCTTCGTAGAATTAATTGGAACTAACTAGATACTTACTCCCTTCTGCTGATCCTCTGAACGTTTTCTGAGGCTCACCAAGCGTTTTGTACGCATTATAAAATTAAGGATTTGCCTACACTATGACAGGGAGGATTGTTAACTAGAGCTACTTTTTAAACAGTTGATTTGGTTAAATCACCATTCAGATGGTCTCCTTCCAAGTCAGAGGCCTTGTTCAGCTGAGGCAGATTTCAGCGAAGCCCCGTGAGGGCTGAGTGAGACAATCAGCACTACAGCTGTAGGCAGTTCAGCTCATTTCCATCAACAGGCACTTTTTGTTGAACTGGATTCCCCTCCTGGAGGATCTGGGAGCTGCCACCCCTGTGTGCTTCTGTCCCCACACGAAGCTGGGGTCAGCAGATCCCGTGGTGCCTCTGTCAGAGGCTGCAGGGCCTCCCTCGTTTGGGAGAACCCGCCTCAGTGCTGGGGGGTGTGTGGAGATGCTGTGCCTCGTTGGCGATGGGGACAGGCTGGTGGTCACCCCGTCCTTCGCCGTGCTCCGGATTTGTTCCCTTTGGAGCCGACTTGGGTCCCTCTGTGTGGCCGGAGATTGGGCTTCACATCTCCCAAAGCTCCTGCTTTGCCTTTTGGCACCGTCTTGGGTCAGAGACCCCCACGTGTGGACACGTGTGCCCGGGTGGGGGGCCTCTCCCCGGGGCAGGGGTTGGGAGAGGAGGGCGATGGCACGGTGCTGACATCCCCTTGTTGGTGGCGTTCGCAGGACATCGAGAAGACCATGAGCACGGCACTGAACGAGCTGAGGGAGCTGGAGAGGCAGAACACGGCCAAACAGGCCCCCGACGTGGTCCTGGACACGCTGGAGCCCATGAAGAACCCC